TTATCTTCACACAGAAACCAGCCTAAAGCTTGCACAGACCTACATATGGGATTTCAGTTGGTCTCGTCTTACATACCTTCACAGGAGAGTCCATGGGAGGTGACCCCAGAGAGGGCTTCACGGCACACATTGCAGTATGTGGGTCGAGCATGGGAGCAGGCATACCAGTTGTGCATTCCGGAGAAGTGGTCCACACTGTACTGGGCAGACTGGAAACATTAAAAATAAAAAAACATAAAACTGTAGATCATGCAGGTAAAGAAGAGTGCACACACAGGCACAGCAGGTCTGACTACTGCTTAGAGCACTTCTGCCTATCAGCGATTGTTATGCAAATGACAGGAGAAGTAACACTACCCTAAACTTAAGAGGTGAAACTATTTCCGGATTGCTCTTCTGCACAAGTAAAAAAAAAAAGAAAAAAAGTTGAACGTGCAGAATGAACTTGCAAATATCTTACATAACTTGCAATTATAACAAATCTGACAGCTTAGTCGCCAATTATACCCCAAATAACCTATAAATAGAAAGTAGCATGTCTGAATTCCTAAGAGAGAGAAATACTGCTCTGTCATTTTACCTGCAGAGCCCCAACCCCTCCCAATCTACTATGAATACCATGTGCATTGGCCCCTCCCAGGTCAATGACCCAGTATCACCTGCAATTTTCTTTCAAGCAGGAAACACCAATGTTTGCCAACCTGATCAGATTTTTTTGTCACTGGCTGTATAAAGGTTACTACCTCAAAGAGCTCACGGTTCTGTGCAGATTTGAGGGCCGCCATCCATTCCTCCATATCCTTCCTATTCTCCGCACTAAGGATCAGTTTGCGAAAGGGAGTGAACACCTGTAAAGAGAAGACGTGGGGATGAAATATAATTTAAGAGAAAAAACAGACTGAAGTCCGCTAAAAAAACAACAAGCACAACAGAGGGAGGAGGTGTGAGCAAATTCATTGGCAGGAGCTATTTGCTAAAGGCATGGAAGCCTAGAGTGCATGGTGGCACTGGAAAGACAAACAAGGGCTTGTCTATAAACCTCCAAAGTAAGGGAGAACTTACAAGCTCACGTTTGGAACACTAGGAAATTCAATAGCATAACTGACAAGGCACCCTGCTAAAATGAACGATGAAGTAGGAAAGTTCATACACAGTCTGAGCACCCTGAGCCTTTAGCATTGTCCAGCAGTACCATCGACAAGGCCAGCTAGCTTATTCATGTTTATGTGACTGTGAGGGGAACAGAGAGGGAGATAAGTGGTGCTGCTAGCAGCCCTTTTCTTAGGGTGGAATACAATCAGTCAGGAGCAGTTTTCTAATCACATCCCCGCACGTTAAAATTTCTTGAAGCCCAGGAAGATCATGTTCTGCATTCCTCCAGAAATAGAGTCATTACACCATTACTGCAACACTTCCTTGGATTATGTCATCGGGCCATTGTGTACTCCCATACAGCCCAGCAAGGGACTGCTGACAATAGTGCCTGCTGCAGGGTTAAGGGTTAAGGCAGTCTGATAGCAGGGGAAAACTCATTGCAGGAATTTGTAGATCCACAAGGGTTCACATTGCTCTCTATACCAGCCTTTCTCAACCAGGGTGCCATGCCACAGTGGTGTACCTCAGGGCTGCCTCAAAACGTTGTGGTTGTGGGACTGTGATGTGAAGCAGGGAATGAAGACTGATGTGATGGGGGCTCCTGATGTAATATGAAAGTGGGGCTTCAGATGTCAAAGGGGGGCTTCTGATGTGAATGGGGCTACTAATGCAAAGGGTAACTCTGATGTGAAAGGAGGGCACTTCAATGTGAAAACCACTTGTTTGTGTGTTTTTGCATTGTAAAATCGATGACATTTTAGAATGGGATGCCGTGACAAAAAAAGGTTGAGAAACACTGCTCTATACGATGTCATGTGGTGAGTTGGAGGTAAAGAAATCTTTACCTTTTAAAGTGAACCTGTGTTCAGACTTTACATATTCACATATTCTGAACAAGAAATAAAAGCACTTTGAAGAAGTCTCTCATTCACTGAAGAGGGCCTTCTTCAAAACTCATTTCCTCTTTTCTTTTAAAGAGCAAAACAATTGGCAGCCTGCCAGCCCTCTAATGACCCGGTGGCTAATATGCGCATTTCTGCCTTACTCGGCCTTAGTCATAGCTAGTTGTGTTCTAACACCAACCCTACTAAAATAGGACGCCAGTGAGCTGGGTCCACCAACAATTTTTACTGTTACTGCAACACTGAGGCTGATCATGTGTTTATTGCAGCTGAACCATTCACTAAGCACTCGGGAGGAGGAAAACCTAAAAGGAACATGTCAAGTGTTACTGCAGGTAAGGCTTCACAGTGAAATGTTCTAAAATCCTTGGAATATAAACTAAAGTGAATGGAAACCTTAACAATGAACTACTATTATTGCCTTTTGGTCTGTTAAGTAGACCATTGGAATAATTTTGCTATACTTCTTTTGAGCTGAAAGTCACATTTCCTGTATTATCTCAAATAGGCTATTTAGTCCTCCAAGTTCTTACCTTGGACTGCAGAATAATTAGCTTTTAAGTTGTAGTAAGCTGACAGTAGTAGTTGTTGAGTAGCTTTGCATTGCACTTGGTGATGTAAGGCGTGGATGCAGCTGCTCGGCCATGGAAACCCATTCCATGAAGCTCTCTAACCAATGTTTTTGTGCCAATCTGAAGGCCACACGAAGTTTGGAGGTCTGTAGCTATTGACTCTGCAGACAGTTGCGCTTCAGCATGCGCTGACCCCGCTCTGTCATTTTACGTGGCCTACCACTTCATGGCTGAGTTGCTGTTGTTCCCAGTTGCTTCCACTTTGTTATAATACCACTAACAGGTGACCGTGGAATATTTAGTAGCAAGGAAATTTCACGGATGGAGTTATTGCACAGGTGGCAACATATCACGGTACCACGCTTGAAATCACTGAGCTCCTGAGAGCGGCCCATTCTATTACAAATGTTTGTAGAAGCGTCTGCATGTCTAGGTGCTTGATTTTATACACCTGTGGCCATGGAGGTGATTGGAACACCTGAATCCAATGATTTGGAGGGGTGTCCCAATACTTTTGGCAATATAGTGTATATACTTTAAAGTACTTTAAACCCAGTCACTAAAATCTCATATATTCTTTAAATAAGGGTTTATTAAAGGAGAACTATGAGGTGAGTGCTTTTCACTCACCTCATAGTTCTCCTTTAATAAACCCTTATTTAAAGAATATATGAGATTTTAGGGACTGGGTTTAAAGTACTTTAAACCCAGTCCCTAAAATCTCATATATTCTTTAAATAAGGGTTTATTAAAGGAGAACTATGAGGTGAGTGCTTTTCCCTCACCTCATAGTTCTCCTTTAATAAACCCTTATTTAAAGAATATATGAGATTTTAGGGACTGGGTTTAAAGTACTTTAAACCCAGTCCCTAAAATCTCATATATTCTTTAAATAAGGGTTTATTAAAGGAGAACTATGAGGTGAGTGCTTTTCCCTCACCTCATAGTTCTCCTTTAACCCTTGCAGTGGGGCTACCCCCACACTGCAAGGGTTAAGTACTCATTTTTGTCTAGGTTCAAAAATAAGAAAGGTTATACTCAAGCAAAGCGTGGAGCCGGCTGGCTGTCACAGCGCTCCCACCAGCCTGTCTCCTCCACTGCAGCATTGTAATGTTCCTCAGCATCCTCACGTCTACAAACTGTGTATAGAATGTGATCATTTATGGGACTTTAGATCGTTACAGATGACTGCACCTGGACAAAAACGAGCAGTTAACCCTTGCAGTGTGGGTGCAGCCCCACTACAAGGGTTAATACAATGTTTCCTAGAGTTCTTCTTTAACTTGTTTTTTCCAAAGTAATTTTTAATCCTTTTAATTCTGCAGCTTTCATGATAAAATGAAGACCCTTGTTTAGGCATTTCCTCTGATGAGGTCACAATAATCTGTCTTCTGACTGCTCATCTGTGTTGTCACCCTGTCTGATACGCTTCTGGTGGAGACTACAAGTGGCCATGTCAATGCTTATGTTCCACTGTTGTTAACCATCAGGGAGCCCCTCGAACAATTACATGCAGAAATGGTTATAAGAAACACTTGAGATGCAAAAAAAAGATAAAAAGGTTGAAAAGCAGCAAAATGTTTTCACGTTTAGAATTACATCTACTGTTGAGCTCTTCTACACAAAGTAGTAAAGACAATTTACAGAGGAAACAGTGAACGTAAAGAAAAACTGTGGAATTGTAAACACTTGAAAAGAGAGCCAGCTTCTTTTATTCAAACAGAACAAACACTACTTCTCCAAACACAGAGCAGAGTGCGGAGCTAAAAATAAAAGAAGAAAACCACAGAGTATTTACAAGAAGCATTTCCTAATCCTTGACTGACACCATGGGAACCTTGTGCGTTACAAGGAACTGTATCCCAGCAGCTGTCATTTTATAGAATAGAAGTTTGAGAATAGTACATAATAGTCTGAATTGTTCTACTTTCACTCTTTTGTGTATCTGTAAAGCCCAGGTCATGTGCCACTTGTGTATGCAACTCTCGACCTTAGACCAATTAGAAAAAGAACCATTTACCTATACCAGGGGTGCCAAAAATGTTTGTGTTGAGATCTACTTTTCAAATGACGAGCTACGTGAGATCTACCAAAGGAAAAAAAACCTCCCTCACTCTCTCTCTCTTGCCTGTCTCTCCTCTCTCTCCTGGCTGTCTCTCCTTGCTCATCCTCCTGGCTGTCTCTCCTCTCTCTCCTGGCTGTCATTCCTCATTTTCTCTCTGGGCAGTCTCTCCTTGCTCTCTCCCCTGGTTGCCTCTCCTCTCTCTCTCTTTCTTGGCTGTCACTCCCCTCTCTCTCCTGTCTGTCTCTCCCCTCTCTCTCCTGTCTGTCTCTCCCCTCTCTCTCCTGCCTGTCTCTCCTCACGATCTCTCCCCTGGCTCACCTTGCTGTATTTTGCAAACAGTGCAGTGTAACAGGCTGTGTAAAGCAACATTCTTTGATGTAATACATAGCACTTCAACCACCAGTATCCACCAGAAAGGTGTCAGGGAGCTTGGCTCAGCAGACGCAGGCTAATAGGTAATCATGTGTTCCCTGCTAAAAAAAATATACCAAAATGGAATAAAGGGGCCACCATTCACACCCTTCAGGATCTACCAGCATCAGCTTTGAGAGCTACTGGTAGATCACGATCTACCTAATGGGAACCCCTGACCTATACTCTCTGGACACGTTTTTGTAGCTAGTTCTCTATCTATGTACACAACATTTCATCTATGCCCATAGATCTCAGCTTGTGTATTAAGCATTTATGTGGTACTGTGTCAAAAGCTTTTGCAAAATCCATGTACACTACATCCACCGGCCCCCCTCCATCCAGATCTCTAGTAGGTTGGTCTGACAAGAACGGTCCTTCCTAAATCCATGTTGATTATCACTTATACCGTTGGCAGGAACAAAATCCACTAAATAGCCCTTTATCATTTGCATACTATTGTTGCAAAATGTATAGTTTGCATACTATTGATTTTAGACTGACTGGTCTGTAGTTCCTCGATTGGCATTTTGAACCTTTTTTGAATATTAGTTTCTTGAATATTAGTACTACCGTTGCCTTATGCTAATCACTTGAAACCCTTCCAGTCAATATGGAGTCCTTGAAAATGAGGAATAATCGTCTCGCTATAACCTGGATAAGCTCTTTAAGTACCCTAGGGTGCAGATTATCTGGTCTTAAAGATTTACTCACATTAAGTTTTAGTCTTTGCTGAACCCCAGCTACCGTCAAACACTGCGGTATATTACGAACTAAGCTACTCACATTTTTTTTTTTTTTAT